TCAAAAATTAAACTATTATTTATTGATGAAAAACAATATAGTAGCTATATAAATATTTCTGATTTGAAGGATTTTGTGGAAGGATTCGCCTTTGTATTCTTAATTATGTTGCAACATCTTTAGTTGCGTAGTTGCGATTGTTTAAAAAAAAAAAATAATACATTGACACGTGTAGTTTTCGATTGTTTGATATATTATTATTACTTATAATAAAACATTTAAAGAATTAATTCAATAATATTTAATCTTCATGATTTAATCGCAATAAAACATTTAAAGAATTACCTTATATTTAAATATCTTTAAATCTTATATATGTAATATTTATATATAGCTTTTTTAATTTATATAATTAAATGCAAACTACATTTATGCTAAAAAAAGATATCAGTAATCCTAGATAACATTATCTTTCCTTTCAAATCAAAGTATATAAAATGGGTATATATATATTATAGATAAGTATAAACAAGATATATAAAAAGGATTACAGCGTGATTTTACATCTTTGAATCATGAAGTTATCTGTAAATAAAAATATATGCAAAAATGAAATTCAAGATCAAATTTTTTTTGTAATGTATTTTACTTATCACAAAAATAACAATTTTTAAAGATTAAAATTTTGGATCATAATTCAATCTCTTGAAAAAAAAAAATATTAAATTTTCATTAGTTTTCGAATTTATAATTTATTTATAATTTGCTTACATTTTTTGATCAGAAGAAAAATTTATTATGACACATAGATGTCTATAATATATATCTATGTCTTATATATTTCTCTCTCCCATTTCAATTTTTTCTTTTTTTTTCTCGCTATATAAAGAACACTAAATTACATTTCTAAAAGTTTTTGTACATTGAAACATATTTGTGTATATATATATATATGAACCATTAATTTAAATTCATCGCTTGAATTGATGCCTATATATGTTTCAATATGTTCATAAAGATTTTTAGAAATTGGATTTCAATGTTGTTTAAGTGGCGAGCAAGAAAAAGAAAAATATTTTAAGAAGTTTTTAATATTTTTAATATTTGTCGAAAATGTAATTAAAAAGTGTTATCAAGTGCAGAAGTAAAACAAAAACGAATTCGAAGATACTTCAATCATGATAAATATCTCTTTTCGAATATATTTAATTTTTCTTTTTCTCGATATATTTTCGTTCCATTATTTTTAAATGAAGAAAAAAATTATTATTATCAAATTGCTGATATTTGATAATAGTATCTGCTGATATTATATATGATCATATATAAATCATATAGAATCCTTTTTTTTCGATATTGCCTGATATATCGTTTGGTGCGTTATAATAAAATATATAATAGATTAGATATAATAGATCTAGGATATCACAATCTATATATCACAATAAATGCTATTTTTGTTGCATTTTGATCAAAAAATGTAAGCAAATTATGAATAAATTCGAAAACTATGAAAATTTAATATTTCTTTTTCAAGATATTGAATTAAAATCCATAATTCTCTTAAATTTTTTATCTTTGTGATGATTTTGAATTTCAATATCAATTTTTACACAGTCTTTTATTTACATATTTTTATCAATTCAGAGATAGAATCATGCTATAATATATATAATATATAATATAATATTTTTTATTATAAAATAAATATTATAATATTTATTTTTTATATGTCTTATACATCTAAATTAAATCTTACATGGAAATGTCATATATATGACAAAATAAAACAAATCGCGTCAATCGCATTATAAACAATTATTAAGCCGATCTAGACTTATAGGATAAGTGTGACAGTTAAAACACACATAACTGAATTTGCAATCCATTATATTCAGAATAGAAACAGATCATTTTTATC